GGCATTATTTTTAAAGAATGGAGTGTCACTACGTTCCTTAGGCTAGTCTCAAACTCCTGGGCTAAAGCGATCTTCCTACCTTGGCCTCCGAAAGTGCTGGGATTACAGACATAAGCCACCACGCATGCAGCCCTTCATTCTTCTTCCCGGTTTTGAACCGTTCTCTGAGGTACCACCATTCTCTGGGCCTCATCCTCCTCTCTGACCCCACTTCTACTCCTTCTATGGGCCTCTGCTTTCTGAGCCCGTCCTCCTCCCTGTGCTTCCTGCCCTTCCAAAGTTCTCTCTGACCAGGGCCCGCACTTACTATGTACTTCAGGATCCAAGACAAGAAACCCTTGATGGGGTCTGGCAGGCGGAGCAGTTTGACTAGGCCCTTGATGGTGGGATCCACAATGTCCCCCTCTCTGAGGAACCAGTCGCAGATGGGTCAGTCACAGCCTATAGCCAATGGCCTGCCCCTCTGCCACCCAACTCCCACTCCAGAGACAAGAGGGAGGCCAATCCCAAAGATGTACTTCTGCTCTCAGCACCACGCCTGGAACAGGGGCATCCTAAAGACAGGCCCCGTGGGGGACTTGCGGCATAAGGTCACACGATTAGCCAGAGGCATCCCTGCTCAGGGCCCCAGGTTCCCTCCTGGGACTCAGGTGGCCTTTCAGCCCCGCTCCCCTACCCTGTTTCCACCATGCCCCACACCGGAGTCCCAGCAGATAACGTACAGTTTCTCCAGAAAAGTGGCCCCTCCATCAGCAAACAGCCCCCCTACGAGCAAGTGTTTGATGGCATACGCTGTCCGGGGAACAGAGAAGGGGATGACCTGGTGAGGCAGAGGCAGAGTCAGGGTCCGGAGCACCCCCAACCCTGCCTGATTCTCTGTCTCTGCATCCCCCAAGATTTCAAGAGGGACGCCACATCACCCCATTCATCTCCATCCACCTCAGCGCCTCAGCATGGCATGGAAGGTTTGTGTCACTGGTTGCTCTCCTGCCACACCTCCTCCCTCACCCTCACACACAGATGCAACAGAACAGAACTAGAGCAGCCCGCATTTCCTGCATGCTTCACTGGGATCCAGCCAGCAGGACAAGTGCTTTGTCTATGGAACCGCATTTGATCTTCACAGCCATCCCATTGAATAGAAAACAAGCCCAGGGAGATTAGAAGTCTAGCCCAAGATCAAGATCACATCATAGAATCTCAAAGGGAAATTGAGGCCAGAACAAGCCCCTGGGGACAGGGGAGGTGGGGGTAAGGCTGGGGGTAGGCTGGGAGTGGGGATTTTGATGACAGAAAGCTCCTGACGGCCACTTGATGGAGGCAACAGAGACCCAAGCTAAAGGAATTGTAGGAGTGAGTCTCTGAATCTCCATCACGGAGGGAGGAAGGCACAAAAACTTGATGCCCCCTTATAGGGAAGGGCTCACCCTATCCCCACCTCTACCCCATCAGTCTTCTCCAGAAAGCTTAGGGGGAACACAATTATCTCAGCAGCTCAAACTCAGACACAGACGTAACCACCTTTGTCTCCAAGGATGGCCTGTCCAGCATCCTCACACTGGTCCGGCCTCTCTCCGCCCAGGGCCAGGTGAGCCTACCTGGTGTCCTGCATCCTGGAGTAGCCAGCAGGTGAGCTGCACAGCCCTGGCCATGCTAGGCGAAGGCTGCGTGTAACCATCTGATTCATAGTAGCCTATTCGAAGGGGCTGGTTACTGGTGTAAACCTGAAGGCACAAGGGGCTGGGTGGAGCTCGGAGGAGAGATTGGGCTGGGGACAAGGTGACCCCACTCTCTCCAGGAACCAGACTTTTAGGGAAGGACCTTGGTCCACAGCTGTCCTCACCAAGGGAGGAATCCACATGGACACCCCAAGACCTCCTGGCAGCCTCCCTATACACTCTGCAGGCCCTAGGTGCTCTGGGGAAGCCCCTGGAAGAAGGAGAAATGGATGAGGAGATGGGTGATGTGGTTAGATGTGATGGATAGTAGATAGATGGTAGACAGACTCCTGGGTGGGCGGGTGGATGGATGAGATAGTGGGTAGTTGGGTGGGCAGAGGCTTGAATGCGTATGTGGGTGAGTGGATGAATGGATGGTTGGAGTTGAGCAGGTGGGCAGTGAGTAAGTCAGGCACAGACATGAACACCTTTAAGCTAGAGAGATGTTAGGAGAAGATGAGGATGGAGATCAATAGGGGCAAATACCCAGACCAGGGTCTGCGGTGGAGGGCCCCCAGTCCTGGGAAGTGGGGTGCTACCAAAAAGGTGGCTGCCCCTTACCTGTCACACATTGCATGTTTGTAGGAGCAAATCATGGATGATATGCAATGATCTCAGGTTGATAATGCTAGGAGGGGTGAAGGGAATCAGAGGAACAGACACTGCCGGGAGGTAGATAGAGACTGCCCTACGGAGAGGGTTCTGCAGTCAGATAGGACTGGGTTCAAAACTCAACTCTGCCAGTTACTAACTACATGATCACAGGCAAGTCATTTCGCTTCTCCTCAGTCTCCCCAGCTGTAAACAGGAGGAGCCCTGCTCATTCTATAGAGTGTTAGGGATGAATAAATGAAGGCTGCTGTAGACAGAAGGGTGTGGGATGATCTTCCAGCCTAACTTCTTTTTTTTTTTTTTTGAGGTGAAGTCTCACTCTGTCACCCAGCCTGGAGTGCAATGGCATGATCTTGGCTCACTGCAACCTCTGCTTCGCAGGCTCAAGCAATTCTCCTGCCTCAGCCTCCTGAGTACCTGGGATTACAGGCGCACACCACCATGCCCAGCTAATTTTTGTATTTTTAGTAGAGACGGGTTTCACCATATTGGTCAGGCTGGTTTCGAACTCCTGACTTCATGATCCAACCGCCTTGGCCTCCCAAAGTGCTGGGATTATAGGTGTGAACCTCCACGCCCGGCCTTTAAGCCTAACCTCTTTATTGTACTGATGGGGAGGCTAAGGCCGAGAAAAGAGATGTGACTTGGCCAGGCTACCTAGAGGGTTAAAAGCCCAGCTTAACTGGATGCCACACTCTCTGAACCACAGTTGCTGAGTATTCTGCTGGCATGGGTTGGGTATATGACACTGGAGGCCCTCTTTGGGGGCAATTACAGCTATAGCTCCAGGTAGCCAAGAGGCCAAAGCAGCTGGTGTCCAGCAGGGACAGGAAACAAACTGGACTAAACATGTGGGCTTGTCACTCACTGCAGCCTAGAGTGGGAAAGGGGGTCTTCACCTGGGAAGGTAAGATGGCAGACAGGTCAAGAAGGAATGATGGTGGGGGTCAAGGAGCCCCCCAGGTCTGCTCTCCCACCTGGCTTACCTCCTCCCTAAAGGGCATCCGGGGCACAGTGGGGTCCAGTCGGTGCATGTCTTCACTCAGCAGGGCTCGCAGGCACAGCGCCAGGCTTTCCACATCCCGGGCCATGGGGCCAGCTACCGTGCTCACTGCACAGAGAGGAGGGGAGAGAGGCAGGCACCTCTCAGATTTTTTGTTCTTGTTGTTTGTTTGTTTTTGTTTTTTGGGACAAAGTCTCTCTCTGTCGCCCAGGCTGGAGTGCAGTGGCATGATTTTGGCTCGCTGCAACCACTGCCTCCGAGGTTCAAGCTATTCTCCTGCCTCAGCCTCCTGAGTAGCTAGGATTACAGGTGTCCACCACCACGCCTGGCTAATTTTTGTGTTTTTAGTGGAGACAGGGTTTCACCATGTTGGCCAGGCTGGTCTCAAACTCCTGACCTCAGCTTTCCAAAGTGCTGGGATTACAGGCATGAGCCACCGTGCCCAGCCAGCACCTCTCATTTGTTCTGCTCTGGGGATCCCAACTGCCTCGCCTCAGAGGGTGGGTCCCAGGATCATGGTCAGGATGAAGGAAGAGATTAAAGCTAGGTAGCAGGTCGGAAACCCTTCTCAGAGGGGCAAGAGTCACTTGACAAGGGGAGGCCAGGTGGGAACCATGCAGTCTCCTCTCCCAGTCATCTGTGGGATCTGTCTGGAGATATGGGTTGAGCGAAGTGTCCTTGGCAGATTCAAAGAATGGCAGATTTGTCTTTAAATGGGTGTGGCCACAGGCACAGACAGGGACTTACCCGATTTCTTCCCCTTGATGGCAGAGGCAACTCCAGTGTAGCTGCAAAACACCCCCACCCAGAGCCCAGCTCGGCATGTGAAGGGAGGGGCCTGGGTGCCAGGAGGCTTGAGCACTCAAGCAATGTGCTCCCCCAGGCCCAGCCCACAAAAATAGGAGCTGCTTCAACCTTCTGTGACTCTCTACTGCCCACAGCATCAAGTCTGATCTCTTCAACTGCCTTTCACGGCTCTAACTCTCCATGGCTTCCCCCTCTAGCCCTTCCACATGTGCATATCGCTGTAAGCAAAGTCAGCCGCTTACAAACAACAGTCTTACAGCCTTCTAGATGCCACATCATCTCTGCATGTCCGGCCCTCAAAACCAAGCTTAAATGCTGCCTCCTCCAGGAATCCCTCCCTTCCCTTGCCCTGCCTCTGAAAGTCAAGAGTATAAGCTTTTAATAAATCTCTGTTGAAGAAAATGTCAGCTTTCTCTTATGCATTCTCACAAGTTTTCACCCTCTCTTAGAGCCCTGATCACTTCTGACTAAGTCATTTGCGTGTGTAAGAGCACAGCAGGGGCAGGGGCTGGGTCCAAGAGTGGTCTGTGTCGCCAGTAGGGGCCATGGTGTGGGTACACAGAGTGTGGTTGAGGGATGGATGGATGGATGCATGCATGCATACATGAGAACATATGGATGGTTGGACGGATGGATGATTGGATGGTGGATGGGTGGGCGGGTGGATGGATGGATGGATGGATGGAGAGATACAAATGTGGATAGACAGATGGATACCCAAATGGATGGATGGAAAGATGGATGGATAAATAAATGGTTGGAAGGAGAGGTGTGTGTAAGTTTTTCAAGGGCTGAGATACTTGTCTATTTTGTCCGCTGGAGTAACCCAAGTAGCTGGTACCCAAGGAGCTGTATGTTTGACACAGTAAATACTCCATGGAAATCTGTTAAACAAATAGCGGATGAAATTGATGAATATAGATTGAGATGATGACCATGTAGGTGGTTGAATAGATGAAGGACGGGTAGATGGATAAATGGACAGATCGATGAGTAAGAGAAGGGGTATGTGGATGGATAGCTGTATAGATTATTGAATTAATGAACTGATGAATTCACGAGTGGAAAGTTTATTCTACTGCCACCTGGACAAAACATGGTATGTTTAGCATGGCTATTGCAGGAATTATTTGAAGGCCTCCTACCCACTTCCCCTAGTACAAAGCTGGGTAGATGAGAGTTGACGGGAGGAGCAGACCCCTCTACTTCCCCAGCCCCTAGTTCCTCTAGGCTGGGCTGAGCCCACCCCACCACCACCATCAATGAGTGCCTGAGGCGGGAGCCCGTGGTGCGGAGGCCGTGGACACCACAGAAGCTGGCTGGTATGCGGATGCTGCCGCCTGTGTCAGTACCCATGCCTAGGATGGACCCACTTTCTGCCAGCAGAACTGCCTCACCCGCTGAGGAGCCACCACTTGTCTTCTTTAAGTTCAGTGGGTTCAAGGTCTGGCCATAGGTGGGGTTGCTGCATTCGAAGCTAAGGGAAGCATAAGAAAAGGAGCTGAGGGTGAAAGTCTTACTGGGCAGAGCCCTCCCCATATGGGGACCGACGACCCTCCAGGGTTAACCCCAGGGCTTCTTTGCTCCATGAGCTCCTCCCTAAGGCTGAGGCCTCCTGGTCTCCCTTCTAGCTGGGGGGAGGGGCTGCTGCTGCAAGAAAGATCAAGATCAGACACTATCATGACTCCTAATATCAGAAACAAAGAGCCCACAGCTCTGCCATCAGAACTGAGAACAGGTTCCTCACAAAACATAGATGCACTACCGACTGAGTGGGGAAGAGAGAGAAGAAGCGACGGGGAGAACAATCAAAGAGAGAAGACTGGGTAGAAATAGCACAATTCGAGAGAGAAACTGGGAGAGAAACAGAATGTAGCTTCACAGAACCTTGGAGCCCGAAGGGTCCTTATGGACTGTGGAGTCCACCCACATGTTCTAAGATCAAGAAACCCAAAGGACAGACAGGGCCTGCCCAAGAACCCTGGTCTTTGGAGTCTGCACCCTCTGCCCTGAATCGGAACTTTAAAGAGCTGTTTCAGCCCTGGGCTCACCCCAGCCCCAGACCCCAGCCAGCCCGCTTCAGAGACCTGATCAGCGTCTGTGGGATGTTGGTCTTAGCAAAGGAGATGGCCCTTGGGCCTTGAGCACTTTCACAATGACCCTGTCCTTGGTCGCAGGCTTCTCCAGGAACTGGGCCAGGCCGCACGTAGAGTCATGGCCCTGCAGAGGAAAAACGTTACCTCTAGCCGTGGGGGTCAGGGTGGAACCACCCAGCTGGCTAATTTTCAACCTCATCCCACCCCTGACTCATACACACTCTCACACCCTTGGAGACACAAGTGTGGCACTTCACGGATGGCAGAAGAATGTGGTGGCTGAGATTTTGGGGTTTAGAGCCAGACTCCTGGGTTCAAACCTCAGTTTGCCACTTTGTAGCTGTGCGGTTTTACATCCCTTGTCCAGGGTCACACACCGAGCCTGCCAGTGTCACATGTCTCCAGGCTTGGTGGCACAAACGTGCATATACACACTCATGTGCACCCAGGCTCAACATACAGTCATAGGTGTCCTTGAGGCTCATGGGGACCCCATAAAGAAGGCCTCTCTCACTCTTCCTAAGCTTCTTCAACGCCTACAGTTGCTCCTCACATTCCCCCAGGAAATCCATCAGGCAGTTCACCTCCTGGTGCACCTTCAGTGCCTGAGCAACAGGGAAGACACCAGGAAACAGCCCCAGGTGAGGCCAGGGCCAAAGCAGGGCACTCGGCTGCCCTGGCCCCTCCTACCACCCTGAGGTGACTGTGCCACCTCCCAAGTCAGTGACAGCACCACAGAGTTAGCCCTGCCCCTCAGCTCCTCTGAGTAGAACCATGGCAGGTGACATCCCCCACTCCAGCCCAGAGCCCCCAGCTTGGACACTGTACCCTGGCCACCACCTGCTCTAAGTAGCTGCAGAGGATGCTCTCCAGACTCAGCTCTTCAGTCCGAAGCCTCTGGGCCAGCTCTGCCAGGGGCAGCTCCAGGATTGGCTCGGGGTCTAGGTCCGGCTCCTGCAGAGATAAGATGGAGTAGGCAGATCTCAAAGACAGACCTGCTGAGGCCCACTCCCACACACTCCCCATCACACCCCGTATGCCCCTACACACACAGCTGCACACATGATCTTGTTTCTTGGTACATGTTCCCGCCCTCATGCTTAGCACTAAAAGCATCCGCTGTGACTCCAGGTGGTCATGAAAACCCTCCAAGGGTGTTCTCCTCTGCCTCTGTCCCCAGTGTCCAGCCCAGGGCCTGGCATGGAGAATGGCCTGCCCGTTCATGTTGCCTGTCAGCAGGGTCACAACTGGAGTGGGGGTGACTCCACACATGACATCATGAGACTGGGGGCTACGGAAGTGAAGTTCAGCCCTGGACAGCCTGCCTTCAGCGGGCATCCCAGGCATCCCCGTCTCCTCCCTACCCAGTCTTCCCCCTACTGAGCTGACCTTAGGGAGGCAAGAGTCCAGCATGGATGGCAAGAGAGTTGGCACCATCTTGGCAGCACCCTTGGTCAGCTGGGTAACTGGAGGGGGGCTCTGCCCCTCCCATGGCCTAGGTCTCCTCAGAGAGGGAAGGACTAGGAGTGAATCCTGAGTCAGCCATGCTGGGGGACCACAGACAGACAAGCCCCTCAGCTGCTCTGAGCCTGGTCCTTCAGGGCATGAGGGAGGCCTGATACCAGCTCCTCAGAACTGCTGTCCTGGCAAGTGTGACATGACAAGGGTCTAGCACACAGCAGGCATTCGAGAAGGCAAAGTTCTCTTCCTCTTGCCCTCCTCAGCTCTGGTTGAACCCTGATGCCTCCAAGCTGAAGTATGGGTTGGGCAGGAAGACGTCATAGTGGCCTTTTCTTGGTCTTCGACAGGGGGATGGTGGAGACAAAGAAATTTCCTTGGGAGGGTAGGGATCCCCTGGCTTCAGTCTCTCTTTTTTTTTTTTTTTTTTTTTTTTTTTTGAGACGGAGTTTTGCTCTTGTTACCCAGGCTGGAGTGCAATGGCGCGATCTCGGCTCACCACAACCTCCGCCTCCTGGGTTCAGGCAATTCTCCTGCCTCAGCCTCTTGAGTAGCTGGGATTACAGGCACACGCCACCATGCCCAGCTGATTTTTTGTATTTTTAATAGAGACGGGGTTTCACAATGTTGACCAGGATGGTCTCGATCTCTTGACCTCGTGATCCACCCGCCTCGGCCTCCCAAAGTGCTGGGATTACAGGCATGAGCCACCGCGCCCGGCCCTCTTTTTTTTTTTTTGAGATGGAGTCTCGCTCTGTCACCAGGCTGGAGTGTAGTGGCACAATCTCGGCTTACTGCAACCTCCACCTCCCGGGTTCAAGCGATTCTCCTGCCTCAGCCTCCCTAGTAGCTGGGACTACAGATGCACACCACGACGCCCAGCTAATTTTTGTATTTTTAATAGAGACGGAGTTTCACCATGTTGGCCAGGATGGTCTCAATCTGTTGACCTTGTGATCCGCCCGCCTCAGCCTCCCAAAGTGCTGGGATTACAGGTGTGAGCCACCACAACCAGTCAGTCAGTCTCTCTTCCTTCATTCCTCAAAGCACCCAGCCTGGCATCCACCCTCCCCTCAGCACTGGGCCTCTTCTCACCAAGGGCACCAAGACTTCTCGGTTACTAAATCTTATAGATTCAAGTTAGTCTTCATCTCACTCTCCTCAGCAACGTCGGACACTCTCCCTCCAGAAGCTCTCTATGCCCCTGATTCTGCTGGCCTCCTCCCACCCTCAGGTGGCTTCTTCACAGTTTCCTGAAATGTTGGTGTTCCTTAGGGCATGACATTTTCTCTTCCTGCCTGTCTACTCTCCATGGGTGACCTCGGCAGCTACGTGTACCCCAAGCATATGCGGGCCACCTGTTTCTCTAACCCAGGTCTCTCTCCAGCTAGGACTCAGACTCCTTTACCTACCCACATACATACAGACTCCCCAGGACTCACCTTTTTTCAGCCAGATCTGTTCTTCTTAAAATTCCCAATCCATGGCGTGCATGTCATCAAGCAACAAACCTCAGAATTATCCTAGCTCCTCCCTCACATCCAGATTCTAATCATAGTTACACTAGCTGACACATAATCACACGTAGGATGTGTTATAACACTTAATATGTGCCAGGCCCTATTCCAAGCACCTTACATAGAATAACTCATTGCCTATAATGAGTTTTGGGAGGCCGAGGTGGGAGGATTTCTTAAGGCCAGGAGTTTGAGGCTGCTGTGAGCTATGATCGCACCACTGCACTCCAGCCTAGATGACAGAAGTGAGACCTTGTCTCCAAGAAAATTTTAAATTATGAGTTTTAAATATAGGCCAGGCAAGGTGGCTCATGCTTGTAATCTTAGCACTTTAGGAGGCCGAGGCAGGTAGAACATCTGAGGTCAGGCGTTTGAGACCAGTCTGACCAACATGGAGAAACCCTGTCTCTACTAAAAATACAAAATTAGCCAGGTGTGGTGGCGCATGCCTGTAATCCCAGCTACTTGGGAGGCTGAGGCAGGAGAATCACTTGAAAGCGGGAATCAGAGGTTTCAGTGAGCCGAGATCTTGCCATTGCACTCCAGCCTGGACAACAAGAGCAAAACTCCGTTTCAAAAAAAAAAAAAGTATATTCTACATATTTAAAATATATAACTCATATTACCCCTTGCAACAACCCTAAGAGGTAGGTCACGTCATTTTCTTGTTTCACAGCAGAAGACGACACTGAGACATAGAGAGCTCCTGTTTGCCCAAGGATACACAGCCAGTAAATGGCAGAGCTGGACCCAGGCAGCCCAGCACCAGTGATCACATGCACTGCCTGCAGGTGGTTCTGCTCCTTCATATCTCCCACCTCGGACCCTCAGGCCTCCTGCCTGCCTAAGGACCTCTCTGTCTCTCTGTTAGCTCATCAGCCTCCTCTCTGGCCTCCTTGCTTTGGCCTCCACTCCTCCAGCTCAACCTCTTCACTGCAGCCTGGGCAAACCTTTTAAAATCTTATAAGGCCCAATCTGACAATAGGTCCCAGTTGCCCTCAGGATAGCATTGCAACACCATTCTCACCAGCACCACTTGCAAAGCCTTCGTTGGAAACGTGTAACGTGGGTTCCTGCTTTGAGGCAAGCAATTCCCATTGACCAAGTACTCAGAGTATCACTGTGGGGCTGGGAACCCTGTAAAGCCCTTTACTGCACTGTTTTATTAAATCTTCACAAAACCCTTCGCTAAGGGCTGTTATTACTGTTTCCATTTCCCCAGTGAAAGCAACTGAGACCTGCAGAGACTAACTCTCTTGCCCAAGGTCAGAGGACAGGGAGCCTGGGTTTAAACCCAGGCCGTCCAAACCTTAACCACTATCTTCTCATAGCTCTTGGGGCTTCTTGTGGAAGGGAAGCTTTTTGAGGGTCCAGGCACTAGACCAGGCTCTTTCCCTGCTTGGGCCCGGTGGGCCTGTCTCTCTCGGCCTCTCCCATACACACTGCTCCAGCCACACTGCCCAGTCCCTCTCCCTGCTGTGCCTCAGATCAGAGCTCCCCAGCTGGTGTGCCACAGAGACTCTCAGGAGGATCCAGACACAGATGCCTTGGACAGGGCTAGCATTTGGCCAGGATGCACCGCTACAGCCAGGACAGTGGCTAGACTACTGAAACACTTCTGAGTCACTTGGCAAAAAGCTGCTCTACTGGGCACTCCACCACCCCAGTTGTCCTAGCCCCTCCCCAAGACTTCACCCTGTCTACACAGTCCAGCAAGTAAAGTTAATGCCCAGCCCAGCAGGGACCCTCTAAGCACAGGGACTATGGAGGGCCAGACTGGGTTCATCCTTTGCCCTGTACCCTCTAACCCTAAGAAGCCATGGCAGGCCCTGCCAGGGACCTCCTTGCACTCACAGGTCCATGGATGCACCCCAGAGATGTTGGCAGCTGCACAACAGCCCCATTTCTATATTTCTACCTGGAGAGATGACACCCCTGGTGGCACCCCCATGGGCAAGTACCCAGTGTGTCCCTCTGGGCACCTGAGGCTAGTCCTCCACTGCAGCTGTCCATCCTTGCATGCCCACTTGTGGGAATGGCAGCCTCTGGGGACTTTGACTCTCAGGGAGCTGGGGAGAGGTAGGAAGAGCAGGCATGGGGGGGATGGTGGTGGGGTTAATGTGACCTCTGCAGGAGGATGCTGACACCACAGCAGGCCCTCCAGTGACCTGGGGGGACAGAATGTCACTTCCATCTAATAGAACATGTTCCGCTCACCCAGAATACCCACTCATCATGAACAACAACATTAGCTTGGTTCCTAAACTGAGAACTATCACTCATACAGACAGTGCCAACTTACCATGGTTCAACATACCATTTTTGACTTTACAGTACTGCAAAAGCTATTGATATACATTCGTCGGAAAGCAGTAAAGTAAAAGGCCAGGCGCAGTGGCTCACACCTGTAATCCCAGAACTTTGGGAGGCTGAAGTAGGCAGATCACCTGAGTTGTTTGAGACCAGCCTAACCAACATGGAGAAACCCCATCTCTACTAAAAATACAAAATTAGCTGGGTGGGGTGGCGCATGCCTGTAGTCCCAGCTACTTGAGAGGCTGAGGCAGGAGAATTGCTTGAACCCAGGAGGAGGAGGTTGCAGTGAGCCGAGATCGCACCATTGCACTCCAGCCTGGGCAACAAGAGCAAGACTCCATCTCTAAATAAATAAATAAATAAAAAGTATCAGAGTCAGGATTCAAACAGCCAGCCCAGCAACAGAGGCCACACTCTTAGCTATCATACTAGACAACTTCTAATTAGTGTTCATGACATTCTAATAACAATGTTTATGACTTAGTTGACAGCAGTCTGTAAGCGTAATTGCTACTAATTCAGCAAAAGCTGAGAGAGGACTCCACCCAAGGAAAATATCATTAAGAGAAAGGCTCGCCTTAATCAGACTGCAAGTGATCTAATGACTCCAATTTATCAGGAGCACTTTGAAAGACAGGGCCATCTTTCAAAAGATGATAGCCACATCAAAAGAGCCTCACAGCAAATTCTAAAAATCAACAAATTATTTGGAAATTATTAGAATAATTGAATGAAAAATTAAGCCTCAAGTTGATCACTTTTTGGTCATTTTAATGTATAGTTTAGTGTGGATCTAACCATCCCCTCCTGCTCCATCCCACAGCCCTGTGGACATCCAGCCTTCTCTGTACTTAGGGTGCTGTCTCCAGCCTAGTTTGAAAAACAAAAAATATGTAACTTCAAGTTTGTGTGTGTGGTTTTTTTTTTTTTTTTTTTTTGAGATGGAGTCTTGTTCTGTTGCCCAGACTGGAGTGCAATGGCACTATGTCAGCTCACTGCAACCTCCGCCTCCTAGGTTCAAGCAACTCTCCTGCCTCAGCCTCCTGAGTAGCTGAGATTACAGGCATCTGCCACCACGCCCAGCTAATTTTTGTATTTTTAGTAGAGATGGGGTTTCGTCATTTTGGTTAGGCTGGTCTCGAACTCTTGACCTCATGATCCGCCTGCCTCGGCCCCCAAAGTACTTGGATTACAGGTGTGAGCCACTGTGCCCTGCTGTAATTTAAAGTTTTTAGTGAATTGATGTATTATTGATGTTTCCAATGTGTTGGTTAAATATTTAGTATCATAAAACCCTCAACTCTCAAGGTGGTTAAGCTCTGCCTGAGGTGAGCAGAGCTTCCTGGCCAAGAGCAGCTGGTCCGTTTACCCAATGTGTCCAGGAATATTATTTTCTTCTTTTTGTTGTTGTTTATTTATTGAAACAGTTATTTGTTTTTTGAAATGGAGTCTCACCCTATGACCCAGGCTGGAATGCAATGGCGCAATCTCTGCTCACTGCAACCTCCGCCTCCCGAGTTCAAGCAATGCTCCTGTTTCAACCTCCTGAGTAGTAGGGACTACAGGTGCCCACCACCACACCGGCTAATTTTTGTATTTTTAGTAGAGATGGGGTTTCACTATGTTGACCAGGCTGGTCTCTAACTCCTGACCTCAGGTGATCCACTTGCCTTGGCCTCCCAAAGTGCTGGGATTAAAGGCGTGAGCCACCATGCCCGGCCAGGAATATTATTTTCTATACGTTCTACAGAAACACTGCCTCATCTGGGGCTTCTCCCTCCCTGGTACTTCCTTTCTCATTTCTTCCTTCAGAAAACTCCTACAGGTGCTGTGAGGTTCAGCTCACACACCACCTCTCTGGGCAGCCCTCCCCACATGACCCTCTCCAGACGGACCAGCCACCCTCCTCCCAAGTCCCCAGCTCTGTGGGCATCCGGCCTCACCACATTCTACTGAGCTGTCACCTGGCATAGCCTGCACAGCTCTGCCTCCACCACGTCCCACCAAGGTTGGGAATGTTTTTAGCACAAGCGTGAATCAAGCATCAGATTCATAGTTCAGCACAGGGCAAGACCTGGAGAAATCCCTTGGGAAATTTTACTATACTCGGCTGAATTGGACTTGTTTGCCTGTGAGGGCTTGACCTGGGTCTCAGCCTTGCACCTCCCCTGGGACATAAAGGTGGACACCTGAGGTCTTGAGGATATTGCTGGCAGAGAGAGGGTGACACGATTGGGAAGATGCCTCAGACAGACCAGTATAGCCTGCTGGGGAGAGAGCAAGGTGCTGAGAGCCAAGAAGCCTGAAGCCACGATGGGAGGCTAGAGACACCATGAATGACCTCACCCCAAACCTCTTCCTCTCCTCCCGCCAACCAGACATCTACCCGCTCCAGGTCCCCAGCCCAACAGCCCAGGCATCCACACATTCACCAACTAGATGCTCAGACAGACGCCGAACCAGCTGCCCCTGCACATCAGACACACAACCACCCATGAACACTCTACCAGACATTCAGACCCACACCAGCCACATGTAGTTAGAGGTACACACTCCAACCAGTAACCCAACACATGCACACCGAGCCAGGCACATAACCACACAGCCAGACCAGACACACACCCACCACGACACAATGAAATGCCAGCAGGAGGCACACAAAAGCAGGCCATCGTCCGCAGCAAAGGAAGCTACACCCACCACCGCACACAGATGGGGCCTCCACATGCACACAGGACACCTCCGTCATGCCTGCTCACCACTGCAACCATTAGCCCAGACTTCTCCTCATCAGCCAGGGAGGGGCAGCTGCTCTCTGGGGGCAGATTGATTTAACCAACTAATTAGCCCCAATTAATATTAATACACATACTCAGCAACTGCAGCAGCTCAGACAGAGAAGCTGCCCATTGGGGCCATCAATCATGCTCCAGGGGACGGCAGAGGACACTCAGGAACTCCAGAGCATGGGAACAGCACCTCAGGCACTATCCCCAGCTCCCACCCCTGGGCTCCCAGACGGAGTCCACCATCATCAACCAAAGCTGGGGACCCCAAGAGACCATGAGCCCATCCCTCCTGGCAGCTGGGGAGCCCAAGGCCAGAGCTGGGTTGTTACATCCTCCAAGCCACACAGCAAATCCCAGGCTCAGTCTACGTTTGTCTCCATGTCCCTCCTTTCCACCCTTCTCTCTGCCACCTGGGGCAGGCTTTGCTAATACACCTATGGCTCAGCCACTTCACCTGCCAGTCCCAGCCTGGCCAGCCACAGAGGCTATCCCAGTGCAATACCCCCATTCTGAGCTGCCAAAGCTGCCTTTTAAGATATGGAGCTTCCTGGGAGACCCCGTCCTCAGCCCCCTGTGCTCTGCACTTCTCAGGGCTCAGCAAGCGTTTTCAGAGCTGGACGGGATTGGGGGGTGGGAGGGGACATTTAGACTAGGGTTCCTGTCTCGGTGGGATTTTGGAGTGCTAAGGGGCTGAGAGAGATCTGGCCTCCCTCCTCCAATTTCTTCCATCAGTTCATTTTATTTCAACAAATATCCCAAGTGAGCACTCCTCATGTTACTGAGCCATGTGCCAAGAGCTGGGAGAACAGAGGAAGAACACACTGCCCCTAACCTCCAGGGTCTCAAAGGCCGGAGATGGAAGAAAGCTGACAACTACACACAGAGCTGGCATGGGGACAGCCAGTGACGGGGAAGTGCCCACCTGCTCCCTGTGTCTGCAGGGGCTGGGGCCATGGTCAGGAGGGGCATCCTGAGGTATAGTCCTCCTGTTGGGATTGAGGGCCACGGCCCCCTGGAGCTGGGGACCTCCGGGACCCATGTCAAGTCACCTGCTGCCGGAGCCGCCGGGCCAGGGCCTCCATCTTCTGCAGCGCTACCTCCCTCCACTTCTGGGCCCTGGGGATCTTGTTCCGGGCTGGAGCATGCTGCCAGGTGAGCAGGGCAACCCCCAGCAGGGTCAGCAGGAGTAGCATCGTCAAGGAGTTAGACAGCCAAACCACCCTAGGTATTGCATGACCTATGTGGATGCAGCTGCTCTTTCCTCAGGAACACATCCCATTTATCTGTCAGCAATGCTGCCAGGGCACCCACTCACATCTGGAGACCTGGGCATGGCAGTGAGCAACCTTCTTCCTGTTTCTTACCCCATCTGGACTTCCTAGGAACAAAACCCCTATTTATCAGCCACACAGAGGAAGAGGCGCCCGAGCCTCCAGCTGGGCAGCTGACCTCACCTCTGTCACATCCTACTCTCACCCATCCTACTTCTCAGATCCCACCCCTCAGACACCCCACTCCAACCCTCAGGAGTTACGGATGGGGTCGCTCCTGGGGTTCCCGTTGCCTTCAAGATTCTCCCGAAGCCCCTTTGTTCCACATAAACAGACACATGGAGGTGGACCAAACAGACCATGTTTGCCCAGAGTGGAGGTTCTGGGAGACAGGCAGAGAAGAAAGGACCACCCGGAGGAGTGGGCAGGGCTCATCAGCAGTCCACCTCAGGCGAGATGATGCCAGGGCGTGAGACCGGACAGCCCGGCTGGGCTTCCCCTCTTGACTCCAAAGCAAGGCCAGGACTCTGATCCAGGGTTCCAGCCTCCCCAAGCTATTGGCTCGCCCTGCTCGTGGAGGGGAGTTGTAGGGCTGAGGGAGGCGGCTTCCCGGAGGAGGAACAGAGAAGACATGAGGAGACTGGAAAGTAGAGCCGAGGGGCCCTAATGTGGGATCCATAATGCTCTCCTCAGGAGCCTCCGTCCAGTCTCCACCTCAATGGCCACTGAGGCTTCGAGTCACTGTACCCAGGAGAATGGTGCCTCTCCCTCCAGACCAGGAAGGCAGGGCAGCCGCAGGTCAGGGTGGAGAGGAACCAAGTTTGTGGTTGTTAATGTTGAGTCTGAGTACCCAAGGGGCCAAAGGAACAGATTCGAGGTCAACCATTGACTAACGGATGACCCTGAAGTTGCCCACCCTGTAACACTCTGTCATCTCCATGGGGCCTCCAGACCAGTCCTCCTCTGCCCTCCTGCCTCTTTTCCGACCATTTTCTTCCATACCCTCCACTCCACCTTCATGAACTCCAGCTCTCTCACCTATCCTCAGCTCCCCCAGGCCACTCATCATCCACATCACACCCCATGGTCCTCTAGGCCTTGTGACCTCACCTTGTCCTGGGTTATGCCCTTCCATTACCACATACCTCATTTTATGTCTTCAATACACCATCATTAGCTGAAATTATCTTGCGGATCAGTTATCTCCTGCCTCAGTCTCTAGAAAATAAGTTCCATAAAAAAGCACAGACGAGGCCAGGCATCGTGACTCACGCCTGTAATCCCAGCACTTTGGGAGGCCAAGGTGGGTGGATCACTTGAGCTCGGGAGTTTGAGCCTAACCTGGACAACATGGCAAGACTCCATCTCTACAGAAAATGCAAAAAAAAGAAAAAAAAATTAGCCGGGAGGCAGAGGGGAACATAGGCCTTGTCAGCCCTTTTCAAAACACCTGGCACATGGTGCGTGCTCAGTGATCTCTCTTCAGTGAAGAAATGATGGCAGTTGAGTCCTCCATTCCTACCTTGACTTGCCCCCTCTGTGTGTGGCTGCTGGCCCTTTCCTACCAGCATTTAACATGCTTAAGTCTCTCCTACCTTGGGGGATGAGGGAGAATTCCCTCAGATCTACACCTTCCCTAACTACCACCCTGTCTTTTGTCCCCCTCCTGAGCTTTTCCATTTCTCTACACAGGCTGCCTTTACTTCTCCACCTTTCACTCACTCTTCCACCCAACAAAGTCTGGCTCGTGCCTATCTCATCCCAGTGATCTCCTTGAAGGTAAGTCAGCACGACTTAAAGTTGTCAACTTCTCCCTTCTTAAAACACACTCATTCCTTGGCTCAGGTGCTAATGCAGTTTTCAGCTTCAATGTTGCTTCCTCCAGGAAGCATTCCCTGACACACACGCACACACATCTCAGGCCAGATCAGGTCCCATGTGGTTTATTCTCATAATACCCAGGCTTCTGCTTTATTGCACTTCTAAGGAATGTTTCTGGGTAATTATACATTTGATGTCTGTTTTCTGGAAAAATGGAAGCTCTATTCAGGCCGGGACTATTTCTGATTGGTTATCCTGAACATACTATGGGGAGAATTCAACATTTTTATTGAATGGATGGGAGGATGAAGGGAGGGAGCAACCCTCCATTGTTCTTCAGAGAGCAACTCTCTCTGAATTTCAGTTTCCTTATGTATAAAATGGAAATAATAATGCCCATTTTCCAAATGAGATAATGGGTTCAACTCTACAGCCTGGCGGATGTTGGATTTTATTAAGACACAGTCCTTGCTTTCTACCAGGTGCAGAAGCACAAAGAAGCTCTTTGAACACAGCCTGAGAGAGCTGGAAGAGTTAAGAGGATGGGAGAAGTGGCTAGATAAGGACCTGCAGACCAGGAGAAAGCTATAGGTTGAATGCAGACTGGGAGTTTTTTGTCCTCATGGGCACTACTCAAGATCATGGCAGTAGATAAGATAAATGTGAAAGGACTGACTCGAAAATTCCCTTTTGCAGGTGAGAGGAAGAAGTAATCCGAATGGGCCAAAATCGGTTCCCTAATAACAAGTCACCCATTGCTCCATCCAACAAGCCTTCTCTGGGTACCCACTGAGTACCAGGCACTGTGCTGGGAGCTGAGCATATACAGCCCTGACCCCAAGTGGCTTCATCTTCCTGAGGTGCCCAGGGTCACTACCCCAAATCTATATGTAGGAAAGTTGGGAGGGCCCAGCCAAGCCCAGCCAGAGAAATGTGAAGTAAAGATAGATCTGACTGGGAAGCTCATGACTTGGTTATGTGTTTGTCTCTTAGGGGTGCAGGTCATGCCCTTTCCTTGGTCCTCCTCTGATCAATAGGTTTATGGATGACTTGGAGGAAGTGGCAGAGGTCCAGTGCTCAGACTTGTGGATGCATAAGAACAAGTTGGGAAGAAGAACAGAAATAGCCAGAGCCCTTGAAATAATCCTAAAAATGGGCCAAGAGTGGTGGCTCACGCCTGTAATCTCAGCAGTTTGGGAGGCCAAGGCGGGCGGATCACCTGAGGTCAGGAGTTCAAGACCAGCCTAGCCAACGTGGTGAAACCCTGTCTTTGAAAAATAAAAAAATAAATCCTAAAAATGGCACCTAACAGGACCAAATGGCACGCGCTCTGGCTGTGTCCTGAAACTCCAATATCACAGCCACAGGGAGAGAAAAGGGAGGGTGGACAGGGACATGACAGACATCTCCTGTAAACAGATACTAGCAGAGGTGCACAGTACACGGGGTTGCTTCTGTCTTCAAAGTGTTGTGGTCACCTAGCACAGAGGCTGGTGCCCAGGGAATGCTGAATGCATGTTCTTGTGATGATTGTACAAGTGAGGAAGGTACAGTAAATTTGGAGTTGAGCATGTGGGTTTCAAGTCTTCTCGTAACCCATAACGATCAGCCTTCAACAAATCAGCAACCCCCTCTGAACTTCAGTTTCTTTATGTATTGAATGGAATAATAGGGCCAGGCACACTGGCTCACACCTGTAATCTCAGCACTTTGGGAAGCTAAGGCGGGCAGATCACTTGAAGTCAGGAGTTCAAGACCAGCCTGGCCAACATACTGAAACC